TGTCAATGTATCCCCACCTTTATTGGTGTTCCATGATGGCTTGTAGTCTACAGGAGTCCAATTTCTAGAATGTTCACCATGTCTTCTTCGATCATAATTTCTTCCTCTGCTCATGTATGACTTCCTGTTTGTAAGCAATGCATTGTCACTCTTGTTATTCTCAAATTTTTCCTTTCTCTTCAAATACTCTTCTATTAACAATCCCTTTATATTGTCCCATTCCAACTCTTCAGCTTTTCTCGCATTCAAACTTGTGAGGAGATTATCATACGATTCGGGTAAACTCCCTAGCACCACAGTAGCGAATTTCTTTGATGATATATCTTCTTCCATTTCACGCAGTTGTTCTGCCAATGATGTCATATAGGTCAGGTGTTTCATAAGATCTCCACCTTCTTCCATGGTGGCTGCGTAGAATTTACGATTCAAACGCACGACTTGGGTAACAGATACAAACTCAAATTGTTTTTTCAAGTTCGTCCATGCTGCTAAAGGATCTGTCGTACTCGAAATGTGTATTTGCAAGTGTTTCTCGACGTTTAAGGCAATCAGAGAGTAGGCTTTATCTGATCGCAACTGGAAAGCATTCTTTACAGCATTTGTCGCATCTTCGTCAGGAGGTATTTCTTTGCCTTCTTGTGTAAAGCCCCAAAGGCCACGTTCCATAAGAACTAGCTTGACATTGTATTTCCAAGACTGATAATTCTTGCCATTTAGCTTATCGATCTTCGTAATTTCCGCCATATTAGACTCGAAGTATTTTCACCAAAATTTCCGCCAAACAGGACAAATAAACACGTTTTAATTCAATTCCACACGTCCTGGGCCCATAACCTATTGAAATATTCGCTCACTTTCGATTGTATAACTATTTATTTGAAGATAAACATAACTTTAATAGACTTAATAATATGAATTGATTTTCTAAAACATGTCCGACCGAATGTACACATCAGAGAAGAGAATCTCATTAATCTTTAACCAATCATATTTAGCGTTATATAATTTGGCGGGAACTTATTATTCTTAACAAAAATTGCCTCCGTTATGCTGAAACTCGGCGGCAATTTTTCTTTTCGCGGCGGCAAAAATTTCTGGATTAATAAGTACTGACGATTAAAATGGCAGTGATATTTTCAAGCACTTTAGTCTACTACCGTTTTCGAAGCTTGGTGAAACCAATCATGAAAACCGATGGCTTGCTCTGATATGCAATTAACTGCCCTAGTTTACCAAGAATACACATCTGTGGACATTTAGGTAAAACTAAGGTTTCTTTAATAAATGAAGCATTCCGCCCTGGCCCGGGCATAATCATAGGCCAAAAAATGGCCGAAGGCCAATGTGGGACAATAAGCATGCCTTTAACTTTGCAGCTGCACATATGCCGAATCGTAGGTATAACTAAAGATACTGGCGGGCACAACCAATTTGTGTCGTTGGACCAATTTTGAGTAAAACAATCAGGCCTTAAAATATCGGTCGGTCACGGACATTGTCCGACCCATTCGTGAAATTGTCCGACGTAGAGAGGAAACCACCAGACATTCTGTCCGACCAAAGTGAAACTGAGGTTTATTGTTTGTCCGACCTGAGTGTATTGGTGTCTGACCGAACTGTAGCTTTGTCCGACGTAAATCAAAATGTACCCTAGACCAGGACTAGAGGCTTGTATGTTAAATAGAAAATCAGAGTACTATTGTATAAAAGGTGAACTGGAAATGTTTTAACGTAGTCGAGCGCGGGGCGGCGAGCGAAATGGTGAAGTGGAAAACGGGCTTATAAGTTGTCGAAGTCTTTTTTAATACTGCTGTTCTGGCAAGCAAGTTAATTTCGGCTTGGAAATAAGTGTGAAAGAAACAAATTATTTAATATCTTTACAACATTTCCCGTTTATTCATTTGTGTCATTCAGACTTATTTCCGAGTCAAAACTGAACTGAAGGTCATCGGACATATGTCCGACCCAAACTCAACGTCACCGGACATTTTGTCAGACGGCCCTGGAAAAGATATTTTAAGGCCTGAAACAATCCACCGCCCCGGCGTCTGGACACCAAAAACGTGAATTGAATCGTGGCAATTGCTTATTGCTGCCGCAGCGAGCGAGCAAGGCAGCAGATCCTAATTTTGTTTTGTGGGTCGAAATCAAAATTTTCTATTTGGCGCATTGCATGACGGTACCAGTGAACTTTAACCGTGGTGCAGCGCGGTCAGGCATAAGGCAAACAGGCAATGTGATCATGTTTCATCTTTGGTCTTCTTTTATGGAAAGCCATAGCTGGCTTAAAGTGATCAAACGGCATTATACGGCGGTGCTTTTGGCATTATACACGGTGCTTTCGCCATTATACGCTGTGGTTCCAGTATTATACGCGGTGCTTTCACCATTTATATACGCGATGCTTTTGCAATTATACGCAGTGGTTCGAGCACTATATGCGGTGCTTTTAATTATTTCATTCAACATTATTTCCATATTCTTTCCAAGACATGTATATGATTTAACGATTGCTTAAATTTGGTATGTGCATGGTTGACAAATGCTTTTTGCCTATGGTCTGCAAGGACAATGACATGCTTTTCTGTGTATATACATGTAAATGAATAACGCAGCGAATGCGCCAAACAGTATAAACGCGGCTGAAATACGATATTAAAATCTTAAATGTGCCGTATGATTTAATTATGTTTTAGGATTTACAAATGCTTTGGCATTTGTATTATTTTATACTTGTACTGCATCACAAGGCATGCGCAGTATACGTACTGTAAGTGAAAAAACTCCACATGTGAGATTGTCTTGTATATATTTTTGCTTTCTTTGATAAACACTATTAAACACGCAAATTTTAATTAGTGAGACGCAATGTTAAATGCCACCTGCATTTCATTGTCATTGCTCTTTAACCCCTGGTCTAATTGGCCGCTTTTGAAAATATTGATCATGACGAATCGCACTGCCTTAATTAAATGCAAACTTTGTGTTTTAAAAACGGGTTAGGATAAAACAAGGATACGGACGGACGGATGAATGACGGACGGACCGGACGGATTACATATATATGTCGTTATATAGTCTGCGCGCAGCCGCGCAGGGTAGTTAGTGCCTTACGTTTTCGCTGGTTGTTATACTTTAAAATAATTTTGTATGTACCGAGAAATCAATATTCCGAGTATATAAATATATAAACTGGGATGTCACACTGATAGCTTGTTTACATTTCCTGGAGCATCATGAAATCTTATGTTTAACCACGGTGGTTTAACTCATTAGCTGGCAATGCTTCCCTTGTCGAGCGCCAGAAGATTTTACTCGTCAGTGGCATAGGGTACTGCCAGTAAATGGGTTAAAAAACCTATCTGCCAATGGCTCTTGTTAATTCATCAGCACAGTAATGACCCCTACTTTAGTATTTACCCTGTCCAATGCCAGACGATTTTTAATACTCAGTCAGTGGTTGGGTACTGTCAATAAATGGTTTAACAAGGATAAAAATAATTAGCCTGCATGGCAGGCGGTATTTCCCAGGCTTGCCCAATTTTAGAAACCGCCTGCCATGCAGGCTAAACAATAATAGGATGTTTCTGAAGGACTCGTTCAACACCCTGTAGTTTGTCTTTTGCTGTCAAAGGCAGCATTACTGCCTAGCTGTGGGTAACCTAGTTATGACTATAGAGGCAAACCGATCGATAGTGAAAGAACCCCATTTGGTATGTAATAAGTTGAATAAATGTGGTTGTAACTGCCAATCATCTAAATCGGTTGCTTTGCTTAATGCTTAATGCTTAATGCTTAATGCTTAATATCCATTGCGATTCAATCTGTATGTCAATGAAAAAAAAAGTTGAAAATTTCAACTGCAATGTGTTGAAGTTTGGGTACTATACTACCAACTAGAACGGTGCGACGTGCACTTTGACTGTCTGAAAATACATTTATCCAACTTTTATCCAGCTCTAAATGCTTGATGAATACTTTTAACACCTGCAATATTGCTAACAATTCTTGGAATGTTGAACTTTTGACTTTTTGTTCCAAAGTCCAATGGCCGTGAGTTTTAAATTCATGCAATGAGGCCAAATAACCGCCATAACCAAAGCTACTAGCATCTGTATAAATATAGAGTGGTTCGGCCGACACCTTGGGCGTCATGGAGTGCCCATTAAGACAGCCAAGATTAGTTAACCAAAATCTTAACTCTTCAACTAGGAGAGGTGGAATATCAGCAATGTAATCAGACCAGGAGCCTCACTGGGAAATCGTATAAAAAAGCTGCCAAGTGAAAAGCCTTATCGAAGGCCCCACATCTAAATAGAGAGAATTAATAAAACCAGCAATTTTAGCAAGTTCTCTATACGAAATAGACTTTGAGGACAAAACAGACTCGATATTTTTCTTAGCTTTCTCTATCTTGCGAGGCAAAATTCCAAAATGGAAATTAATGGTATTAATGATATTAATGATAAGGCCAAGCAATCCCCCAACCTGCATTGGTTTCCAATGACACTTCTCACCATTGGCGACCAGACTGGTTGTTAAAGTTAGATCGTTTTTGTGAATTATACTAGCAGCGACAGCATCTAAGTGCTGTTTATGCCCCAAGATCCCATCGTCCAGATAAACAAAGGCGGCATGAGACATTCCGCGCCATCTCTTTATTAATGGACGCAATAGACGTAGTTTAGTGAAACAATAACATGCAATCTTGTTCCACGAACCTGTGATCCTCGGGAAGGAACGTGAGGCTCTGGGGTAATCCGTTTCAGGGAGGAATCTGATTGGCCGTTAAAATGGAATGCATAGTTCAATCTTAGCCAGGATTCCTGGCTTCCGGCAACAGATTATCCCAGAGCCTCACGTTCCTTCCCGAGGATCGCATGTTCGGGGAACGAGATTGAGTAACATGCCGAAGCAAGGCCAAACGGCAACACAGAAAATGTGAAATCTTCAGAGCAATCTAAATGAATTTACAGAGTATGGTGTATATATTTACAAAAATAATGGTTTAATATAACGTGAAGGCAGCGAGAGCAAACAACGATCACGTTGCTGCTTACATAGCATTTGTATAACAAAGGAATGCTATTTTCATGAACCATTATTCTGCATATCAAACAATTAGATAGCAATTATCTGCTAAGCTGCGTAACGCAGATAATTACAACTTATATATATTCAAATTACAAATAACTAAATATAAAATACTATATGTAACTAAACGACATGAAAACAGTTTACGTTATAACTCATTGTCAGTGTCAGAATCACTCGAGGATCCCTCGTCCGAACTTGAGATTAATTCAAGGTCAATGTTCTCAACGGGTTCTTCTCTTTCTAAAAGCTGGGAAATATGATGGAATGAAGGTAGTTGGTTTTCGTTTACTTTCTTCTTTCTGACTGGTATACGTATGACCATTGATGCGCCTTTTACGTCACCGCACTGTTCCATCAGGGTATTGGAAAAGAAATAGTTCAATCGCGTAATCGTATCCCTCAGGAGAAAAGTCCTTGTCGCTTCGAAGTTGAAGTATTCCTTCGCACTCGGCATTGAAAAGTGGATTGACAATGCAGAGCTCCGCAATGTGTAGGATGTTGTGCAAACCTAGACCATTTTTCAATCTAAAAATTTGTGGCCAGCAATGTGACAAGGAAAGAAGATTTGCTAACTTAAAGAAATTTTATGACATGGCTATAAAGGACGCGAAATTCGTCTTTGAGCTTTTGCAGATCGCAACCATTTGCTTTGAATTGCTCTGCCTAACGTTCAACTATTACATTTACACAATCGAATAATCGTGATGATGAACGCTACGTATAATTTTTCAAAGCCTTTTTAGTGTGAAGTTTCTTCGAAACTTCACAGTATTGTGATGGTGGGGGAAAATTCAAACGAAACAGTCAGTCAGTCATTCATTCAGTCATACAGTAAACTTTCCGGGGGGGGGCGTGTACGATTTATGTTCGCAGTGATTTATTGTGCTTAGTTAGTACTTTGGAGGTTATTTAGGCAATTTCAGTTAACTTATTTACATATTCTGTTATCCTTTTACCAAGTTCACAAAAATTTCGAGCAATCGCTTTCGTTATTGTAATTCTTTGTAAATTTTAGAACATTCGCTTCTCATGTTGTGTAAAGGATCTTTACCCCGGAACACCCGATTTTTCTTTATTAGCGCAAATGCGCATGCGCTGTCAAGCCGTAGATCACGATGGCGTGACGATATGCTAGGAAGGAGTGACAGTGTTGTTTTCAGACGTATAAACATTTCAGACGTGAATATTGAGTAAATCTTTGAAAATCTACGCAATATATAAATTGATCTTATGCATTACGGCCGTTAAATTAATAAGTGTCGATAATATTTAGGCGGTATATTCATACAGAGTTAGGAAGGAGCTAGACCGCCTAGACAGTGCAGTCAACACATTTCAGACGTAAATATTGAGCCGAAAATCTTTGAGATTCTGGGCATTCAATTGAGTGCTGATATTATTTTCACGGTATACTCATTATACAGGGGTACAGTATGTACGAAGAAGCGAGACAGTGTTGTTTTTCAAATATATAAACATTTCAGACATGAATATTGTGAAAATCTTTGAGATTCTACGCAATAATATGATATATAAATTGATGAATATGGTTACCGGCGTTCAATTAAGTGCCCATCGATAGACGATATTATTTAGACCGTGTATTCATTATACATTGTTATTTGACTGTATAAGGTGCCACATCACAGAATAGTAAACTCAGGCAAAGAGCGAAAAATTGCATCAGACAATAAAGCATCAACAACTATTAAACAGAATCGGGCGTTCGTACAGGCGTTTATGAAGAAAATATTGCGAGACGAAGGAAATCAGTTGAGTCAGAGCTCCTTATTTTAATAAGAAAGACGAGGAGATAGCCAGTATGTTATCGCCAACGTGTTATCGCCAATCGCTTGGCTCACCAATTAACAAGCTTTATGCAATGGAAGAAAAAAGCAAGGAGGTACATGTAGCCAACGTGTACTGTCGCGGACCTTGTTTACTG